TGTATATCTTAACCTAATCTTTAGGAAAAGCTATGACATATTGTGACATACATACATGTATGTATGTATATGTAAGTTTGTCATAAAAGAAGGTGAAATGTAATAGAAAATAGTTTTTGTCAATTTATGACTGCTGCAAACTTTACATTAAGATATCTCGAAGAAGGAAAAGATATAACAGAGATTAAAACTTTATTTTTAACTCAACAGATTGGATTTTAAGATGACCTAATTATTTTTATTTTACTACATGATATCTCAAAAACTTGATGTGATGGAGTAGAACTCAACGCATCTCAATATTTTACACAAAATTTTCTGGTCTGTGCTAATTTTCTGCTTCTGTCACACTGTGACTAGAATTAAAAAAAACAAGTAAGAAGTCTATATTCGCCTTTGCCGAATCTTATATACCCTTCACCATATTGTGTTTAAAAAATATTAATTTTATAAAATGTCAATTTATTTCATATTCCCGACCCTGTCATAACTTAAGCAAAACAAGAGAAACAACAACAATGCTAAACGAAATAAAAAACAGAAAAAACAAAATACACAACGTAATGAAACCACAGCCATCCAAACATTCGAAACAATATACACAAAAAAACAAAAACAAAATACACAAGGCAATGAAACCACAGCCATCCAAACATATGAAACGAAATACACACACAAAAAAACAAAAACAAAATACACATCGCAATGAAACCAACCTTTTATACAATAAGCAGTGTTGTTGTTGCTTTTTTGATGAAATTTTCAGAGGTTGTCTCGGATTTTTGCTCATATCTCCGTTATTTATGGACCGATTTTGCTGATTCTCGAAAGTATGTCCAACAGAATTATTGAAGATTTGGATCCTGAAGATATCTGGGGTCTTCAGAAAATTGATTTCAACAAACACACAGACAGACGGACAGACAGACAGACGGACATAGCTTAATCGACTCCGCTATCTATAAGGACTCGGAATATATATACTTTATAGGGTCGAAAATTATATTGTAGAAATTACAAACGGAATGACAAACTTATATGTATATACCCTTATCACGAAGGTGAAGGGTATAAAAAGAAACTTATTTTCCAGGAATTAATTTATAAACAATTATAAATTAAGAAAAAAAAACATAAATAAAAAATATTGATAAACATGGTACTTTTTTCATCAGACTACTTATCAATAATAAACTGTAAATATGTGCGTACAAATGTATGGTTGTCTTTTTCCAGAATAAGTATACAACTTAATTAAGAGGTGAGAGAAGCTGTTCAAAGGAACACAAATGTTGCCATTATAAAGAGAATTTATTATTTAATTGTTAAAATAGCGAATAAACAAAACAACAATGAGTTATAATAAAAACAAAGACTCCGAGTCTTTTTATCATTTCTATGTATGAAGAATTTGTTTATTTAAATGATGATAATAAATAGTATGATACACCACTATTTGCAATTGTTTAACAATTTAAGACAATTTGCAAATTGCAATATAGAAAATTTTAATTTTAAAAAAGTAATTTAAAAACAACTTTAATTAAGACTTATTAATAAATTAAACAATAGTTTTAAAGTGCCAAACAAAAATTTTTTTTAACAAAGTTACAAAACTCATCTTTTCTTCTTTCAAAACAAAAACTTTTAAAATTTACCTCGTACTTTTATTGAAAAAATCCAACATTTGCACTAAATGCGTATAAATTTTTATTAAAAAACATGTATGCAACTTATTTTTTTATTATTTCTTAAATTAATGCATTTGCAAACACTTCAAAATTTGCATTTGTATGCAAAATATTTAAAAAATAAAGAAATAAAACCTGCAGAATTGTCGAGAAAATGATGATGGCTTCACAAAAAAATAACAAAACAAAACAAAAAACATTTCACATTCGCACTTTCACTACACTCTTTTATCTTTTACTAATATGTATGTTTCTATGTGTGTGTGTATAATTTTTATGTACTCTTTGTTTTTGTATAGTTTAATCTCTCTTAGTTTTTGTTTACACTCTCTATTTATCACTCATGTAAAAGAAGAATGCAAAAAAATGCATTACAAATTACTGTGTGATTACATTTGAGACAACACAACCACAGTTAGTAAAGAGTTTTTTTCAGCCGATTTGACAAAAGGACACAACATCAGTGGTCTATCACATACCAGAGACAAAAAATATCTGTAACTGTGAGACAATAAACCTAAATATTTGATCATGTCCAAACGAAACAGAAAAAACGATAGTTTTGCGTCTCGTTTGCACCAGTTGAATGTATTAGTTCGTATACCTGTTGCTAAGTTTAGCGTGGAGTGCTGTCGTTCTAGCTCAATTTGAGGTTATAAAACTATTGGAAGGCTCTCTCTCTCTCTCTAAACCAAGGTGTGATAACTTGGCAACTCAAGTTTTACTTTTATTACAAAGAAAAAATTCTTGTTGCTACATGGATGTCTTTATTATAAACTAAAATTTTACTGATGCATCCTATCGTCTGCAGTCCTAATTGTAATTGTTCAGATGAAAACAAATGATAAATTGCATTTTATTATTGTCACTCACACTCATACAACATACTTACTTACTTAAAAAAAAGTTAGCAATAATTATTATTGTGGATCTTCAAGTGAGATCATAGACGCCAAAGTGTCTTTATGATTTATTTGCAAAAACATATCATGGACAGAGAAGTATCAACATATTAACACTATATACCACATTGGGGGGTGTCTCAAAATTTGGTTAAAAATTCTAGAAAATCTAAATTTTATTTTATAAGATCTTTCTACTTAACCACTTAGATCAGACGTTTTAACTGATTATTTGCAGTTACTTGTAAAAAATCGTACAGTTACGGTTCCAGTGTTAATTTATTGAAGATGAAAGTTAAGGAAAAGTCCTTACTAATAGATTTATATACATAGCACAGAACGTCACTATCTGGATAAGATAGTGAATAGAGAGATCGTTTGTCGTTGACCACAAGAGAATGTAACCTTTTCAGGAAATGTAAAATTTGAATGATTTAACGAACTGTCAGTGTTATTTTGCGTAATTCTTATCTCGTGGAACCCCAGGTGGATGCTAGCGGTAAAAAGGCAAATATTTATATGAGTAAAGTGTTTGCGATCTAGCCTAAAGGAGATTATTGAGAAAACCATTTCTAGAAATGAAGGAGGCTGAAATCGTGGCCCTGCTGTCACTTATCGAAATGGTCTTGATGGGAAGATTAGTACAAATTAATGGCTCGCAGTTGACAGAAGCTTTCTACAAGAAATCGGTTTCTTCAGTAGCAGCTCCGAAGATGTATCCTTAAAAGAGCAGACAGAGCTGAACGGATTAAGATTAGCAATTGTGGAAACAAAAAGAGATTACCTAAGATCTTCTTGTTTACTATCAGGTTGTGTTGGGTACATACATAGGTACCTCTGCAACATACAGGCTGATGAAGTCGCTGGATTGCAAGGCATCTAAGGTCTTAGTGGTAGGAGTATCGATCTATGTTCGTTGCTTGTGCTATCAGTCGTCTTCGAGATATAATCGGGACGTCTTGGAGCTGACGTTAAAAGTTGGTTCTCAAAAAATAATATAGTAACGATGAAGTAATCTACACATTTAACATAGAATCATAAACATACAACAAAGTCCTGGATTAACTTGGAAGCCAGAACCATACTTCGTTTTATCAAAATCCAAACAATTATAGGCCTAACCATCCTAAATCAGTGTATAAGGCAGTTCTCTTTCCAGTTAGCTAATCTGTCTGTTCGTTTGACCAATGTTAGAACTAAATCCCTGTTTCATCTCGGACACACTACGAGGGTTGTATCAGACCACCATTGTTGCTTTTTTGACTCGGTGTAGCATAGTTCAGAATTTCCCAAATATCTGTTTAGTTGCAGTATATTTGTTTAGACCTATTGAACTTACGAAAGGGTTAACTGTCAAACAAACTCTCATACTGCTCACACTACTTGACATTTATGATTAAAAAACAAAACTGCCTCATATGTTGTAGGATCAATCCACCACAGACTCTACAGATTCCATTACATTCAGAATAGTGCACTGTTTGGTGCGTTGATCATAATGCCAGATCAATGGAGATCATTATCGCAACTTGATCAATGTTTTTTTTTATGGATAACATTGATCCGGATGAAATTAGAATTGTGCTACGTGTTATATGACGACTGCAATCATCGAGTTATAGAAATAAATATTTGGCGATAACTTGATATCGAGAACATGCGTCGCGGTGACCAAATACACAAAATCATATGAATTTTAAAATCGGTATTAAAAAGGATTCAAAAATGGTCTGTATTAGTGTTAAATCACTATTGATGATCAAAAGAGACAAAATTTGCAAAATGTCTGCTCAGAAAATCAACGTAGACAGAGACTAACTTCTGAGTTGGGTTAGTGTTCAATTAATTGAGACACAGCAAAAATAATGTACAATATCGACAAAAAAAAACATAAACAAAATAAAAAAGTACAAGAAGAAGAAAATATACATACTTACATACTTACATACATACAAACACACATATTCATTATTTATTTGTTTGTTTGTACCACTAGTGTAGTGGTGGTGGGTATCTGTCTCGATCGTACTAAAGTCATAGATGGAGGGACCTTATAAATACCGGCACAAACAAGTTCTTGCTTCAGTAAGATTTAAACCGTGCTGTGAATAAGAACAAATACAACAAAACAAACGCTTCAATTAAAATAGACTAATCATAAAATTTCATAAATTGTGATCTTTTTTTTTTTTGGATTTGAGGGAAAGAAAAAGAGTGATAATATATTATTGTCTTGTGTTACCTGTAATAAACATAAATTAAAAAAAAACTCCACAAGAAATATTACTAATAAAAAAACAAAGAGGTGTAATTTCGCAAAAAATCGCACACAAAAGTGAGTGTAATTTAGCGCAAAAGGGGGAAAAATATATAAAGAAAAAGTCTTAAAGGCCTAACTATAATATGCTTAAACAAACTGAAGTCAGCTTAAGCAACTGTGCGAACACATATAAAATGTATGTGACAAACTATAATGTACTTAAGAGAGTTTCGTCAAGTTTCGTCAAATTTTATTTGCTTAAGCAAAGAGCGATACTGACAGCACATTACGTACGGAACAATTGTTTGTTTATTATACACAAAGAAAATAAAGAAAAAAATCGAAAGCTACAAGAAAATTAATTTATTTCAATAAAATATTTTGAAATATGTATTTTTTTATTACGTGTGTCACATAAATGTGTAAATGGAGCTAAATTGATTTGAATGCACGTAAGTACATTATAGCCACCTAAATGTTTCCTCGGATTTTCTTAATCATTTGAGAGACTTTTCGTTCGATTTTTATATTACCTTAAGCAAGCTTATGCACATTATAGTTGGGCCTTAAGACAATAATAAGTCACAGAAGAAGATTATTTCACAACTAAATTTGGCAAGAAAATTATTGCTAAAATATTTCTTTCACATATAAAAGTGTTTTATTGTTTTATTATTAAAAAATAAATTAAAAAAAAAAAAAAATAATTAATTCATATTTAAAAAAAATTCTCTCTTTTTATATAAAAGTCAACGGAAGTCCAGAAATTTCTGTTAAATTGAAAAATTGTTTACGTTCACATTACTAACGTAACGATCAGTAACATGAAAGGGGTCATGTTTTTATCATTAGTGCTGACAATTTTAAGTGTCAGCCATATTAGTGCTCAATACTTTGGTGGGTAAGTAATCAACAAAGTGCTTAAAATTAATTTAGTGTTTAATTTAATAAAATTATTATTGCTTTAAACAGTTTTGCTTACATTTAAAAATTTTAACATTCATTAGCAGTTGTTTGTTTTTCATAAATATTTTACCTCAACATTAATTTAACAACTATTAAATATTTTAAATAAAAACCCAGTTAATACTTTTTGTAATAAATTATTATGTGGCTAATTTATTTAAATTACTAAAAACCCGCATTTATATTTATAGTTTTTTTTTAAAAGATAATTGTTAAACTTGTTTTTTTTTTGACTTGAAAAAAAATTGGTCCTTCGCATAATTAAAGTTCAAAAAATGTAAACAAAGATAAATGTTTGAATAGCTATTAACACATTTTAGCTACAAATAGAGAATTTATTCAAAATTTTCTAGAACAAAAAGGAAATTTAAATATTTTTAATTAAAAAAAAAATAAAAATTGATAATATTTTCTAGAAAAGGATAATATGTATAAAAAGAGAACATCTGAAGATTTTATTTCTTAGAAATGTAAATTTTTTATAAAAAAAAACAAAATCTAGAGATAATAAAAAAATTCTGGAAATGTAAAAAAATTTTATAAAACGAAATCAATTGAAAATTAAAAAAAAGGAATTTTAGTGGTTTTGTTTTAAAAAAAGAATAATTTCTTAGAAAGGAAATTTTGTAAAAATAAATTAAAATTTTAAGAAAAAAATTCTTTAAAACGTTTAACAAAACATTTATAAAAAAGAAGGAAATTTATAAAAAAATTTAAAGAAATATTTGGAAGATAGGTAGATAGATAAATAGATAGATAGATAGATAGATAGATAGATAGATAGATAGATAGATAGATAGATAGATAGATAGATATATAGATAGATAGATAGATAGATAGATAGATAGATAGATAGATAGATAGATAGATAGATAGATAGATAGATAGATAGATAGATAGATAGATAGATAGATAAATAGATAGATAGATAGATAGATAGATAGATAGATAGATAGATAGATAGATAGATAGATAGATAGATAGATAGATAGATAGATAGATATATATATAGATAGATAGATAGATAGATAGATAGATAGATAGATAGATAGATAGATAGATAGATAGATAGATAGATAGATAGATAGATAGATAGATAGATAGATAGATAGATAGATAGATAGATAG